CAACTTTCGGTCACAGGACTACTTGCTGATAGCAATCACCGGCATATGGCGAAAAACTTGTGCCAAAACTGCCCATTCCCAAACAGTCGTTCTCCATCGTCCGCATTGAAACGACTGTTCCCACGGCAGCGGCGAAAAACAAAGACCGACGAGGGCTCATCGCTCCAATATGACTTTTCCATTTTATAGATATATCCACTGTTCAGTGAAGCGAAATGAATGACGCGGTGCAACTTTTTAGCTGCTGTCACCCGCCTACAGCTGGGCTCCCGCTAAGATGCCAACAGACAGAATTTGCCCTTGGCCTTAGTAGACAGAGGTAGCTTATTCTGCTACACTTCCTTTTACATGAATCACTGTCAGAGCAGTCCGCATCCAAGTTAAGTGCAAATAATGCTTAGGTAGCAAATGATCATAGATCCTTCTAGGATCGAAGCACAGCGCTTTCGGCAGACCAGCCATATCCTAAAATATGGAATTACGGCTAAACTGATTTCCGGAAAATACGTAACAAAAAATCCAGGCTAAGAAAAAATAACAATTAAGACAGACGATTGAAAAAGCGAGGAGCCACGTAAATCGTGAATCAAACTTTTAAAAGGAAGCTCAAGCCAGAAGAAAAGTTTTCGAATTCTTCCATTTATTTAATCATTGATGCCGCGTCGCAAGTTCTGATAAAGGCGAATTCGCATATCATGAAACCGGAGGGGGTTTCACCGCAGTATCATGTCCTGATGTCATTACTATTACTATTAATCTGAATGACAGGCTGCAGGACGAAACTGTATGTGCTCGAAATTTACTGCTTGTTGTGTAAAGTAATTTTTGACACGCCTTTTGTTAGATTTATTGTTGGTTACTTGTTTGTGACATTCAATGTGATTTTGATATGCATACGATATGCTTTACTAATACCTTCCAATAGGATACCCCAGGATATGGCTGATGTCTTCCCGTTCTTCAGATTTAATTGATATTGATCACCCAGATAATTTCTTATGCCTTGCTTGACATGACTTCCTTATCTTTTGCACATGAGCCATTATCATCTTTCTCCAGTGTGTGACATGATGCAAAAGTTTCATTATGCCTTATTTCGATATTGTTAGAGATAGTGTCTTCCAATCTTTTCATCAGGGGTTTATTGAACTTGTCATTCCATTGGGTTAAGAGCTATACAGGATCCGCAATTGAAACTTGGCTATCACAGCTTCGTATCCCGATCTTGTGGGATCCCGTCGTCTTCCACAATGGCTCATGAGTATGCATACCATGTGTTTATCTGATCATATCACATCCTGCATTTCCAGACTTTGGTCGTTGACTGTTCTTTGATGAATTATGAGGCATCACAGAACAACATAAGAAAAATAGTTTTCGACTATACACTGAATCGTTAGAAAAATATTTACACTATTTAGTAGAGGATATAGAAATATGGGTGTACAGTTATGCGCATATGCATTTTGCTAAACAGTAGTCTCGATTTCAAGGATATAGAGAAACATGAACATATGAATATCGTCGATGCTTAGACTCAGTGCTAAGGGATACAGGGCTTAAATGTTCGACTTCGTTCGGTTAGAGCTAAATCATGCATTGT